TGCCAATATCCAGCAACTTCGCACAGCCATTGAAGAGGAGTGGGACAACATTCCACAGGCCACAATCAACAGCACGATTAACTCTATGCGAAGGAGATGTGTCGCGCAGCATGAGGCAAATGGTGGTCACACCAGATACTGACTGGTTCTGATCCACGCCCCCACCTATCTGTAACTAACAGATGCATATCTGTATTCCCAGTCATGTGAAATCCATAGATTAGGGCCTAATTTATTTCAATTGACTGATTTCCTTAAAGGAACTGTAACTCAGTCAAATCTTTTGAAATTGTTTCGTATATATATATATGCTAACAGACTGAATTTCAATATCCACCCTCCATAACGACAATCTGTTCCTGTTTTTATTGTGTAGTTCTGAGTCTTTCCCTTTAAATCGCCATAGAAAGGCCCCTCAACATAGATTGATAGGCAATATAGCCAGTGAAAGACAAGGATCTGGAGATGAAAATGACGAGGGTATCAAGTTGATTTTGATTGGTCCAACCCGCGGATAGACCGCCAAATGGTACCTTCCCAACGCCAAATATGGAAGAGATACAACCAAGAGCGGCACGGTCTAAATAGAAACGACCACAGCAAATTAACGTTTTTATTTCATCTACACTGTCAAGTACATTAAGGTTATAATATTGTAGAGAACAACATAATGATTATTTATGTGGTTAATAATCACATAGGGCAAAGAAAACTACGTTTTGACATACATTTTGTAGCACCCTTTTGAATTTTTCCCGTTTTACTCTAGCTACATTCTAGAGCAGTGAGTGAACGCCCTATAGTGTGTACTAGCTAGCTAGCTAGTGTGTGTACCAGCTAGCTAGCGTCTACTAGTTAGGTAGTTAGCTTGTACTAGCTGCACAAGCAACAGTGGTTAACATAACGCTCTGGACCAGAGCTAATGACTCACGCGATACCAAGAAACGTCTCCAGGTTGCGAGCACACATACCATTTGGGACGCACATGCGCTTTATGGTTCGTAAACCGCGTGGTGTCCGCGTGCTTTGAGGCTTCAAGATGTATAGAGGATGTGGGAGCTGTGAGCCAAGTCAAGGCTCAGGCATTTTCCACTGTGTATATTATTCCAGTCACGTACATTGAGTTAACTGGTTACTTTCACAATACAGTAATCCAGGATCCAAAGTAACCATTTTGATAAACATGGTTTTATCTGATTCATAGTATATATATTCCAAGCACAATAACCTTGAATTATGAACCCTACCAATCCTCTGTGTGTTACTCGTCATCATGCCAGAGACGGAAGAGGAAGAGACACCCCACTCGTTTTTTTTCAGGTTCAATGAAAGTCAATGGACGTGTTCGAGAGGATCTAACCCGTAATGTATCAAGGGTCAATTGTGACTGACTGATCGCCAAATAATAATAAGTAGTTATTTATGATGCAAGGTTCTTTGTAGATCAGTCAGTCGGCTGTCGCCTGCACTGTCGGCTGCAGTGTCGAACAAGCCCATTGAACTATTAATTAGACCTAACCCAGCTGCTATTGCATTGGGTCTATGGGAGACACACCCAGTTAAGAAGACCGGAACTTACCTTTTTTTTTTAAACGCTAAACGGCCTGAATGAACTATCATACTTCACTCTGATCATTCAAGAGGGCTGGGTAAATAATCTTGAATAGCCTATAACAGTATAATATATTCATCTTTATTAAACATCCATAAATAAACACTAAAATAGGATAGATTTCCCATTGCTCAATATCACCACAAACACTCTAAAGAAAAGGTTGTGGCCTAAAGTTTTAAATCATGTTGAATATCAAACAACCTTTCTGAACTGTTGCCACCCGTTTTCCTTACATTAGTGAAAGTACGGGAAGGAAGACGACAAGAATATCTTACCTTTCAGAAGACCAAAAATGGACTACTTGCTGTTTGGTGGTTCTTGACCGGATGAACCAAGGAAATGTTGAATAGTATGAAGAATCCTACTTGCTTTGCCAGTCTTGTTTGCCTATCGGTAATCATATCAGGCCTAAATGAAACTATCGCCGCCACATTCGTCATTATAAAACGGGTGGGTTTAATCCTGATTGGTTAAAACCGCATTCCAACCGGTGTCTATTCCACAAATTGCCACCGGCTAAATCTGACGTTAAAATGCCTATTTAATCTGTTCCATCTGACGGCGCAATCCACTGTCTCATCAACCCAGCCAGGCAATTTCTAAACTTGATCTCCACTATAAAAAGCATCTAGACATGATCTCACATTTCTTTTAGACTAACATTTCGTTTTCAACAGCTGATATTTGTATAAACCATGCTGTCTGTCTCTATGACATTTGCGACATTGTTTCAATATTGAAATTCATCTCCTGCTGTCCCATAGTCAATCAAAGTGCTATACAGAATCCCAGCCCAAAACCCCAAACAGCAAGCAATGCAGATGTAGAAGCACGGTGGCTAGGAAAAACTCCCTAGAAAGGCAGAAACCTAGGAAGAAACCTACAGAGGAACCAGGCTCTGGGGGGTGGCCAGTCTACCTATTTGGCCAAAAGTAGTGCACTATAACAGGAAACTATTTTGGACACATGCATTTTTACAGTGCAGCTAGAGATGGTTGGATGTAAAGGCACTTTTGTGAACCACAAGCCCACCCAGTTGAGGGGCACACCCATGTTATCCATCGAGACACACCAATAAGTGAAATTAAGGTTAAAGCTTTGTTCCAAGGATGAACGCTCTTTATGCCAACAACTTCCCCACTGTTTCACTGAACTGTTTATTTACTCCTCCCAACCACATGGTTACATTCCAATGTACATACTAGCATACTACTTAGAATGCATTGCCAACACATTACTTCATCCTAAGTAGTAAGCAAGTGGACATTGAAACAGAGACATCCCAATCTATTAAACAGCAGTTCATAAGGATAAATGCCGGATCAGTGCACTTTGTAAGGTATGCCTTCACTAATATAATAACATGATTACAGGGGAAAGTAAAAGTGTTTCCCTGACTGGGGTTTCCCATGCTATATAAGGTCAGACAGTTAAAGGCGCTGCATGGTCAATCGGACTTTTGCATTGGCCGTGCAGCATTTACGGTAATTCAGTACAGCCTCTTCAGAAGTCAGTGCATTCTAACTTCATGCGCTTCACGGAACAGCACAGAGCTGTTGTGAAGGAAGTTGTTTAAGGAAGTCAGTTTGTGTTTATACAGGACCTTCCGCCCTCAACTTCAGTCAACCAGTCATGTCAAGGTGGAGCTATACAGAGCCCTCCGCATTGTTACAACATTTGGGAGGCACAAGGAGCTTGATTTGGCCTCTGCATGCCTCCACAGGCTCCGCAATAGCGTCACACCCTCCATACGAAGCCTCCGATCACATTTCCGGATCAAGTATAAATGGGCTTTTTGCCCTATATTCTTTAACCTCAACTTCCCCCCGTCAGTCTCTCCCTCTCAGTATCTCTCTCTGTCCTCCATTGCCCTCATCTCTCCGGGTTTTTTGTTGTTGTCCTTCCTCAACTTTCCTATTTTATTTTCCTCTTTCAGAGCCCTCAACTCTCTGCCACTCAGTTTTACTTGTTTTCTATTGGCACTGATCCAACCCTGTGGTTTCCTCCCATCTCTAGAGGAAGGAGTAATGAGGGAGGGCGAGAGAGTGAGGAGAAACTGAGTCAGTCCCCAGAGCAGCAGCACTGACCATGCACAGTGCACTGCAAACAAAGCTTCAAGGCAGGAATAGAGAGTCAAGAGAGAGTCAGGGAAAGAGTAGCCTTGTTGTCCTATACTGTAGCCAACTCTTCTTTATGGCATGACAACAAACAATAGAAGAGTCACACATACAGCATGGGACAAGACAAAGAGCACTAAGCTCCTGAGTGGCGCAGTGGTCTAAGGCACTGCATCGCAGTGCTAACTGTGCCACTAGAGATCCTGGTTCGAATCCAGGCTCTGTCGCAGCCGGCCGCGACCGGGAGACTCATAGGCGGCACACAATTGGCCCAGCGTTGTCCAGGGTAGGGGAGGGAATGGCCGGCAGGGATGTAGCTCAGTTGATAGAGCATGGCGTTTGCAACGCCAGGGTTGTGGGTTCGATTCCTACGGGGGGCCAGTATAAAAAAAAAAAAATGTATTCACTAACTGTAAGTCGCTCTGGATAAGAGCGTCTGCTAAATGACTTTTAAAAAAAAAGCACTTTAGAGTACATGAACGTATCCATCTACAACTATCCTATTTCATTTTCCTGTAAATTTTGTACAAGCATTCCAAGTCAGAATTAGTCTTCTCCCATTAATGGTCCTTCAAACTACTCTAGTTTTCACCTTAGCTCATATTACAGATATACTTTGTTTGTATGTTTATGTACATGGTCATCTTACAAAATCTAATAAAAGTGGCTAATATGACCACAGCTGCTATAGTTACTATAGTAGTGTATTGCACATGTTAATCCTATAATCTCTTTAAAAGTACTAGACTAATCATGAAATTACCTAGATCTCTACGGTAATAATTTGATGGCTGATGCAGTTTAGATAGTTTAACATATATAAACATATATATTTGGCTTATAAATAACATGTTGATGCTAAATATATATCACAAAGACAAAACAGAAATCCCAAAGAATATGTAAAGTTAGGTTAATATACAAATGGTATTTTTCCATTAAGCCTACTGTTCTGAACCCCACATCAATTTGATAGAAAACAAAGAGAAAACATAGATATGATGAAACTGATAGATATGAGAAAACATACAGTAGATAAAAACATTCCATGCAGAAAGTGGAGAAACCCATGAAATAGAACTAATGCCTATGTGTGATAGCCCAGTTGCTGATTCTTACATTTGGATGGATACACAGAAACAGTCCAGAGAGGGCATTTTGGTTCAAAGGTAAGCATATCATCAGATAAGGCCTCAAGAAAAAAACATATGGGGGATTGGAAGTGATGCAGACAATTACATTGATGGAAGTTACAATCTATCTGCAATATTAAAGCTGATCTACCCCCTAAATCTTTTATTAAATAAATACAAAAAAAGAGTTCTGGGATTGGCATGGGATGGCAGCTTCCTCTAAACTTTCGAATAAGGAAGGAGTTTCATATGGATTCTGAAAAAGATGTAGGTTCCGAACGGGATCGGAAAAACAGACTGCATTGACTCAAGTGCTTCTTTCTCTCCCATTTCCTATGTTACGAGAAGACAGTGTTGCGCTGCTTTGAGTTGCCAACCTTCTCGAAGAATATGAAATCCTGTGAAGAGGAAAGAAATGTCAACTAAATTTCCTCCAACAACTGCTTATCAGCTCAGTTTTAGGCTTTACGCCTGTAAAGCTCTGTAATTCGAAAATGTCTTAAATATATCTTTATTTAAACAGATAGATGGACTCACAATGAGGAAGCAGGCGCCCATGAGCACAGCCTTCATCTTGACGTCCAGGTCCAGGGGGAACTGGATGCCAAAGTTGTCCGTGTCGGTGAAGACCTCCTTTAACAGGCCACTCCATTGCTTACTGATGCGGCCGATGGGCTTGCCTCCATCTTTCCCCGTCAGCTACGGGGGGGCAGCAAAACACATGGGTCAGAGACAAAGATTTCTGGCCGCTTCACCTCATCACTACTTCTGAAAGGATTGGATGGGTGTGTAGAGAAAAGGGCAACTTATCCAGTCTTTTCTGGTCTAAAAGCAATGTCAAAGTCAAAGATTAGGTTTGTTCTAGTTAAATAGGACGGTTATCAACTGATTTCAGCCAAAGAAAGCCCAAACTGTATGACCCCTCACCTCGAAGTTGACGTCCCCGCAGCAGTTGCAGGCGATGCAGGGTCCCTCCAGCTTCATTACGGTCTCCTTGTTGGCCCCCTTGATGGAGAACTTGGGCACGCAGGGGTTCCAGTCCTGGGACACATAGCCTATGGTGGTGCCAGGCGGAGCTTGGACCTCGAGCTGAGGGGGACACACATACACAAAATTAGAAAGGTATTTGACCATGCTTAAATCGAGCTTCGGTCTGTACACTGTGGCTTTAAATAGCATGTGCTTGGGTTACTGCAAAGCTAGCTTCAGCAGGTAATATGGCACTAATCTGATGAGTGCACTGGTGTCTGATATTGGCATAGCAATCACTATCATGACAAAGGTAATATGCTTCACATGGTAACTGTGGGGCTATGTCTCCATAGATGCTGAATTAATGTGTTAAAATACAGTCATAAGGGACCTTCACATCTCATGGGAATGTACTGTAGTAGAGGTCTTCACAAATCCCCCTGTACCCAAATACCCAAGACGGGACCCAAATGGGTCCGGATCCAGAATTCTAAATAATGTCACAGGTCTGGGTCGGATCTGATATGATTGTCATGGGTCTCTGGTATGTGTAATTTTAACTGACTTGTCCAGAAGGACCTATACAGATCCGAACACTACTGCTGCAGTAGAGAGAGAGAGAGAGACATTGTATCACTTATGCTGCTGCTATTTGCTTTTCACGAGAGTGGCGAATGTAGGTTGTTGTTGTTGGCCAATCATACTGTAAGTCATCAAAGCGACAATAGGCTACAGTCATAGAGTCCCTGTGTGTGGCAAAAGTTAGGAGATATCTAATCAATGGAAGATGGAAATAAAATGATGGAATTAAAAGTTAAAGGAGAAGGATAGGCCAAGAGCCAACAGGTAGGCTGCTCCTTTATCTCCTGAATGGAGTAGGACGAGAAAGCTCATGCAGCCACTTTGATGCAGTCAAGACAGGTACTATGTAATCATATTGGATGATAAATAACCTAGCTATGGCAGGTATTAGTCTACTACAGCGCGAGTCGGCTTGGTTGGTTGCTGTCGCTAGTGTCTCCTCCCTGTTCCCCATGTCACTCGCTCACAGTAGACTACAAACTAACAGCATGGCCCCTGCTAGAGCATCACCCCTCTCTACCTCCTCTCACTTGCGCTTTATCAGCTCTGGTTAATAAAGTAGCTTAAAAATGGTCTAGTTGTCCCCAGGTCAGTTTGGAACAGGTCTCTCTCTATATTTATATTTTTTATTTATGCATATCGGTCCGGACGGGAAAGCCCCAGGTCCATTCAGGTATGGGTCCAACTGTTTGGACCCGTGAAGGCCTCTATACTGTAGGCAGCCAACCAGCAATGTGAGTCAATAGAGACAGAGCTTGAAAGGGGAAGTGATGGCACCAGATCAAGACCGTCTGGGAGAGGGATCAGACTGACAAAGAACCATTCAGTGTCATTCATGAGTCATTCAGTACAACAGTTTGCATGCATTTATTACCAGCATTAACTTAGCATTAGCATCATTCATTTGTCATTCATACAGAGTTGAATGGAAATGCTAATACTAACCTAAATAAACCAATTGAATTTTAGGTGACCTGTCCCTTTCCTCCTCCTCTAACATATTAAGACAATGATGATTTTATGTATTATTTTCCCTGATTTGTGTCCCGTTTACAAAGTAATCAAATATTTGTATCAGTGTTCAGCGCCCCATCGTACCTCTTGCAGGCAGCAGGGGAACCAGCAGGAGGCACAGCGGAAGGGTCGTATGAGGCGGATGACCTCGCGGTCCGTGTTGTCCTTGATCTTCATGTCGAAGCTACGCAGGGCGCCACAGCAGTTGCGTGTGCAGCAGTCGTTCTTCTCCTTGGCCTTGTAGATCTTCTGACCCAGGCTGTTCTTGATCTCGTATTGGTTGTTGGTCTCAAAGCCAATGAACGCTGAGGAGAGGGGAACGGAGGGAGGAGAAGGAAGAGGGGATGGTGGGGAAGGTGAGAGGACAGAAACCCAGGAACGTAAACAGGAAAACAGTAGTTTGGTGGTGGTCAGTTCTCCTCATGATTTATCAATTTCTACATTGCCTTTACTTCTGTTCTCTCTGTACTCAGATAAGACTAGCAAGCTCACCTTCCAGCAACTCCACTTTTTGGTGTATAAGGATCTGGTCAATCTGAAACATGGAACGCACACAGAAGAGAGTGTGAGAGAGATATGGAGAAAGAGAGAGCATGGAAGAAAACAAATCCCAACATTACACTGTGATAACAGATGATGTTTGTGAAATCAGTGTATTTGACAGCCTGTTATGCTACTCTTCCCAAGCAAACCTACCTGTGTTAGGTACTCCAGACCAGGTGGAACTCCAACAGGAACAACTGCTGCAGGGGCTGGGGAGATGGCTGCAGGAGGGCCTGAGTTAGGTGCACCGTATTCGGGCCCAGGCATGGGACCACCATAGCCTGGGCCGGGTCCCATCTGAGGTGCACCGTACTCGGGCCCAGGCATGGGACCACCATAGCCTGGGCTGGGTCCCATCTGAGGGCCACCGTACTCGGGCCCAGGCATGAGACCACCATAGCCTGGGCTGGGTCCCATCTGAGGGCCACCGTACTCGGGCATGGTCACAGGCTGGTACATCACAGGCTGGCCTGGGTGGGGTTGTTGGTGGTTGTAGCCCATTTGGAAGCCAACCGGTAGGGGAGCATGGTTAGGGTCACCATACCCCCCCTGAGGAACAGGGTAGGGGGCCATGGAGTAACTTCCAGGACCCTGGTGAGGGGATGGGTAACCTATAGGAGGTAATACAAACAGTGGGTATCATAAATATATTCATATTGACAAAAAGCTACACATGAATATGGAGTTATGGATGCAAATATGTGGGGAGCATGAACTGTTGTTATTAAAGCTCACGAAGTGCATTGGAGATTCTGCATTAAGGAAATAACTGTTTTGCATAACAAAAGTGGGCCGTATTGTTAGACACCAATGGATTCCCAACACCGCACCACCCATTCAATGGAAACTGCAAGGAACAAACGTCCTTTATATCAATCAAACATGTTCCGAGCTCATTTTCCACATCATTATCCCAATAACCTTCAAAGCTTACATCAACATATTCAGCCTTTTACACGCCAAGCTCTGGTTTCAAATTCTTATCTTGAATACATTGGAATAATAGCATTATACAAATCCTATGGGTGAAATACCATGGGGCAAACAGCAACCCCAGTATAATATGATATCTAAATCAACAGTGATGTAGAAGACATTTACCTGGGGCTGACATGATGACTTAGTTAGTGGACACACAGTAGATAGCAGGCGGACTTCCTCTCTTGTCCACTCCCGTACTCTATGGAGACAAAAATGAAATGGTCAGTGGTCGTGGGCTATAAAAAGCAGAGCAGAGAGAGCAGGGTTGTTGTGAATGAGAGGGAGAATGACACTAGACATGTTCACCAGTCCAGACAAACCATTCACAATAAGACAGCTATAACAGCTAACTTTCTCCTGTCATATTCTCCAACATAAAATCTAAAACATGCATCAATGCATGTGGTTACGCAACTTGTTTGATACACAATACAGTACACCCAATAAGCAAATAAGTATTTCAGTTTATTTTGCTTTGAGGCTTCAAGATGTACAGTGGGGAAAAAAAGTATTTAGTCAGCCACCAATTGTGCAAGTTCTCCCACTTAAAAAGATGAGAGAGGCCTGTAATTTTCATCATAGGTACACGTCAACTATGACAGACAAATTGAGAAAAAAAAATCCATAAAATCCCATTGTAGGATTTTTAATGAATTTATTTGCAAATTATGGTGGAAAATAAGTATTTGGTCACCTACAAACAAGCAAGATTTCTGGCTCTCACAGACCTGTAACTTCTTCTTTAAGAGGCTCCTCTGTCCTCCACTCGCTACCTGTATTAATGGCACCTGTTTGAACTTGTTATCAGTATAAAAGACACCTGTCCACAACCTCAAACAGTCACACTCCAAACTTCACAATGGCCAAGACCAAAGAGCTGTCAAAGGACACCAAAAACAAAATTGTAGACCTGCACCAGGCTGGGAAGACTGAATCTGCAATAGGTAAGCAGCTTGGTTTGAAGAAATCAACTGTGGGAGCAATTATTAGGAAATGGAAGACATACAAGACCACTGATAATCTCCCTCGATCTGGGGCTCCACGCAAGATCTCACCCCGTGGGGTCAAAATGATCACAAGAACGGTGAGCAAAAATCCCAGAACCACACGGGGGGACCTAGTGAATGACCTGCAGAGAGCTGGGACCAAAGTAACAAAGCCAACCATCAGTAACACACTACGCCGCCAGGGACTCAAATCCTGCAGTGCGAGACGTGTCCCCCTGCTTAAGCCAGTACATGTCCAGGCCCGTCTGAAGTGCATTTGGATGATCCAGAAGAGGATTGGGAGAATGTCATATGGTCAGATGAAACCTAAATATAACTTTTTGGTAAAAACTCAACTCGTCATGTTTGGAGGACAAAGAATGCTGAGTTGCATCCAAAGAACACCATACCTACTGTGAAGCATGGGGTTGGAAACATCATGCTTTGGGGCTGTTTTTCTGCAAAGGGACCAGGACGACTGATCCGTGTAAAGGAAAGAATGAATGGGGCCATGTATTGTGAGATTTTGAGTGAAACCCTCCTTCCATCAGCAAGGGCATTGAAGATGAAACGTGGCTGGGTCTTTCAGCATGACAATGATCCCAAACACACCGCCCGGGCAACGAAGGAGTGGCTTCGTAAGAAGCATTTCAAGGTCCTGGAGTGGCCTAGCCAGTCTCCAGATCTCAACCCCATAGAAAATCTTTGGAGGGAGTTGAAAGTCTGTGTTGCCCAGCGACAGCCCCAAAACATCACTGCTCTAGAGGAGATCTGCATGGAGGAATGGGCCAAAATACCAGCAACAGTGTGTGAAAACCTTGTGAAGACTTACAGAAAACGTTTGACCTGTGTCATTGCCAACAAAGGGTATATAACAAAGTATTGAGAAACTTTTGTTATTGACCAAATACTTATTTTCCACCATCATATGCCAATAAATTCATTAAAAATCCTACAATGTGATTTTCTGGATTTTTTTTTCTCATTTTGTCTGTCATAGTTGACGTGTACCTATGATGAAAATTACAGGCCTCTCTCATCTTTTTAAGTGGGAGAACTTGCACAATTGGTGGCTGACTAAATACTTTTTTCCCCCACTGTATAGAGGATGTGGGAGCTGTGAGTCAGGGGTCAGGCATTTTCCACTGTGTATATTATTCCAGTCACATACATTGAGTTAAATAGTTACTTTCACAATACAGTAATCCAGGATCCAAAGTAACCATTTTATAAACATGGTTTTAGATGATTCAGAGTATACATTCCTAGCACAATAACCTTGAATTACGAGCCCTACCAATCCTCTGTGTGTGTGTGTGTGTGTGTGTGTGTGTGTGTGTGTGTGTGTGTGTGTGTGTGTGTGTGTGTGTGTTTATTGTCATCATACCTGAGACAGAAGAGGAAGCGACACACCACACCCGCTGTTGTTTTCTGGTTCAATGAAAGTCAATGAACTAAGTAGACCAGACCCAGCTGCTCTTGCATTGGTGTCTATGGGAGACACCCAGTTACGTGGACCAGAGTTTACCTTTTTGTTATGGTAAACTGCCTGAGTGAACTATCTTCATTTATCAACCATCTTTGATCATACCTCACTGTGATCATTCAAGGGGGATGGGTAAATAATATTGAATAGCCTATAACAGGATAATAATATATTTTACTAAGCATCCATAAATATACACTGTAAAATAGGCTAGATTTCTCACTGCTCAATATCACCACAAACACTGTAAATAAAAAATGGTGGCTTAATGTTTTCAATCATGTTGAATAACTAACAACTTTTCTGACCTGTTGCTGTCTGTTTTCTTTAGATTAGTGAAAGTAAGTGAAGGAAGATGGCAGGAATCTCTTACCTTTCCGAAAACCAAAAAAGAACTGCTTGCTGTTTGGTGGTTCTTGTCCGAAAGAACCGAGGAAAATGTGAATATTAAGAAGAAACCTACTTGCTTTGTCAGTCTTATTTGCCTATCGGTAAACTAACGTAGCAGGCGTAAAATAAACTAACAATTTTTCTGACCTGTTGCTGTCTGTTTTCTTTAGATTAGTGAAAGTAAGGGAAGGAAGATGGCCTGAATCTCTTATCTTTCCGAAAACTAAAAAGGAACTGCTTGGTTGTTTGGTGGTTATTGTCCGAAAGAACCGAGGAAAGAATGTGAATATTAAGAAGAAACCTACTTCCTTGGCCAGTCTTATTTGCCTATCGGTAAACTAACGTAGCAGGCGTAAAATAAACTATCCGCTACACAACCGTCTTTGTATCATATGAAACCTACAGCGTTGCTGTCATTTCGGGATATTTTTGTGCAATATCTCCGCCCCTTTAGTGGCTGTCACAACATTTACACAATTGTGGATACACAGGTTTGCGGAATTTAAGCTAAGAGGGTAGTTAAATATAGGCTAAATGTAGTCCGCAGTAAAACCCACAGAAGAAGAATAATAAATATAGGCTAATACTTCTATGTGATAGAAATGACCCTGTGAACGGACCGAAAACTTTCAGCAGACAATAACATTTTGTGAAGTGCACATCTGTATTAATGCGCACCGTAAAGTGAAACATTATAGCGACGCTCTTCGACTGCTGCTACAATGTGGCCCTGGACCAGAGCTAACTACAATGTAGCGTAGTGAGGCTGCTACAGAGTAGCTCTTTTCTCGTGCGAATCCTCATCATCATAATATGTTACTTTTTACAGCTAAAGCAATTTGATTCCTTCAGAATCCTATCAAAATTAAGTCGACGTGTAGTTGTTACATTTCGACAGGCTTTCATGTTTTCATTAGCCGACTACGTCATGTTAATTTTCTGAACTTTGACATAGAAGCAATATCCACAAGAGGGCGATGTCGAATCAATTATGGGCTGTTAAATCTTACACCCACTGAGTAGTTGACTCAATTATTTATATATGCATTTTAAATTATATTATGTGAGCTAAACATACAAAATATATTAAAACATTTTCCTTAAAGTATACGTTTTAGAGATTGCTAATGTTACGGTCCCTACTACAACAACACAAATACTTAAATACATGTAATTTTGTACTTGAAACGTTTAATTTAAATACTGTATAATTCCATTCATTCCTATGGAGGATTGCTTCTACTTGGGAGTGCCAATATGGCCGACCTGTGGCTTCAAAGGCTCTCAATCGCCAATACATAGCATCAGCAATCCAGGGTTTATATACAGTACATCACTGAGTTGAAAAATAGGCTATTATCCTTTTAGATAGAACATGTTAGGACATGTTTATTTGTTTTATTATAGACTCTTGTGGATAATAACAAAGTAGGACTTAATTCTTTATCTTTGGTCCCTGTGCTGTGTGACTAAAAGGTCAAATTACCAAATATCTCTCATGTGGACTCAAAGGCAGAGCTATTTAATGATTAGCCCCATGTTGCATGACTTCATCCCACAAAGACTGGTTTTACACAAAGCAACAAGCACCCAATTATAAGAAAAATATCAGACTGTCAAATTGTTAAGAAAAAGTTAAGATCAACAGGTTAAAAATGGCAGTGCAAGATAAAGAAGTACTCACAACCAATGGGCATGTACAGTGCCTTCGGAAAGTATTCAGACCCCTTGACTTTTTTCACATTTTGTTAGGTTACAGCCTTAATCCAAAATTGATTAAATTGTTTTTTCCCCTCATCAACCTACACACAATACCCCATAATGACAAAGCAAAAACAGGTTTTTAGAAATGTTTGCAATTTTATAAAAAATATAAAACAGAAAAATCACATTTACATAAGTATTCAGACCCTTTACTCAGTACTTTGTTAAAGCACCTTTGGCAGCAATTACAGCCTTGAGTCTTATTGGATATGATGCTACAAGCTTGGCACACCTGTATTTGGGGAGTTTCTCACATTCTTCTCTGCAGATCCTCTCAAGCTCTGTCAGGTTGGATGGGGAGCGTTGCTGCACAGCTATTTTCAGGTCTCTCCAGAGATGTTCGATCGGGTTCAAGTCCGGACGCTGGCTGAGCCACTCAAGGACATTCAGAGACTTGTCCCGAAGCCACTCCTGCGTTGTCTTGGCTGTGTGTTTAGGGTCGTTGTGCTGTTGAAAGGTGAACCTTCGCCCCAGTCTGAGGTCCTGAGCGCTCTGGAGCAGGTTTTCATCAAGGATCTCTCTGTACTTTGCTCTGTTCATCTTTGCTTCGATCCTGACTAGTCTCCCAGTCCCTGCCGCTGAAAAACACCCCCACAGCATGATGCTGCCACCACCATGCTTCACCTTAGGGATGGTGCCAGCTTTCCTCCAGATGTGACACTTGGCATTCAGGCCAAAGAGTTCAATATTGGTTTCATCACACCAGAGAATCTTGTTTTTCATGGTCTGAGAGTCTTTAGGTGCCTTTTGGCAAACTCCAAGCTGGCTGTCATGTGCCTTTTACTGAGGAGTGGCTTCCGTCTGGTCACTCTACCATGAAGGCCTGATTGGTGGAGTGCTGCAGAGATGGTTGTCCTTCTGGAAGGTTCTCCCATCTCCACAGAGGAACTCTAGAGCTCTGTCAGAGTGACCATTGGGTTCTTGGTCACCTCCCTGACCAAGGCCCTTCTCCCCCGATTGCTCAGTTTGGCCGGGCGGCCAGCTCTAAGAATAGTCTTGGTGGTTCCAAACTTCTTCCATTTAAGAATGATGGAGGCCACTGCAGACATTTTTTGGTACCCTTCCCCAGATCTGTGCCTCGATACAATCCTGTCTCGGAGCTCTACGGACCTCATGGCTTGGTTTTTGCTCTGACATGCACTGTCAACTGTGGGACCTTATATAGACAGGTGTGTGCCTTTCTAAATCATGTCCAATCAATAGAATTTACCACAGGTGGACTCCAATCAAGTTGTAGAAACATTTCAAGGATGATCAATGGAAACAGGATGCACCTGAGCTCAATTTCGAGTCTCATAGCAAAGGGTCTGAATACTTATGTAAATAAGGTATTTCTGTTTTAATACATTTGCAAAAATGTCTAAATACCTTTCACTTTGTCATTATGGGGTATTGTGTGTAGATTGCTGAGGATGTTTTTTTTATTTAATTCATTTTAGAATAAGGCTGTAACGTAACAAAATGTGCAAAAAGTCAAGGGGTCTGAATACTTTCCAAAGGCACTGTATGTACCCTAAATACTGTAGTTGGCTTATGACCTAGAACATATTAGTTATTGTGTGTAATAATAATGTCCAGTAATATTTTGTCTCATGTTGACTCATCATGGATTTCATCATCAGTGATATTGAGAGCAGAGACATGCATGCTCTGTAATATATCAGCTCTTGGTCTATATTTGGCACACACTGTCATGCTGTATACTTATAGAGCAGCAGACGGGGGGCAGGGGGCCCACATTCAGTAGGCAGGCCCTTCGGTTTATTTTTGCAAGGAGATCTATCAGCACTGGCTCTAGAGTCTATGTTTGGTGGTACTAGCGGCCCCAGGATATAAATCATTAGAGGGCCTCCCTAGTGGCACTGCATCGATCCCAGGCTGTGTCACAGCCAACCGTGACCGGGAGAACAATGAGGTGGCGCACAATTGGCCCAGCATAATCCGGGTTAGGGGAGGGTTTGGCCGGCCCGGGATGTTCTTGTCCTATCGTGCTCTAGCAACTCCTTGTGGCGGGCCGGGCACCTGCAAGCTGACTTCGGCTGCCAGTTGTACGGTGTTTCCTCCGACACATTGGTGCGGCTGGCTTCCGGGTTAAGCGAGCAGTGTGTCAAAAAGGAGTGTGGCTTGACAGGGTCGTGTTTCGGAGGACGCATGGCTCTCGACCTTCGCCTCTCCTGAGTCCGTACAGGAGTTGCAGCGATGGGACAAGACTGTAACTACCAGTTGAGGAGAAAAAGGGGTAAAACAATAAATCAAATTGTATAATAATTAGGATATGGGCGGGAAAAGAGGAAAAGTGAAAACATGTACGCTCCATGCAAAGGCCTTCGGCTCCCTCCTCTATCTCCCTCCCTCGTTCACTGTCTTCCCATTGTTTCATATTCCTGTGCATGGTTGGAGGTCACAATCAGATGCTGAAATTAAGCGAGACAAGGTAGTCAGGTTTTCAAGTTGGCCACACACACAGCATAGACTTCTATCTGATCTGATGCTATCACTCACTGTCTCTGTCTTTTAAAAAAATCTACCAGCCACTCAGATTTTTTACCAGCCCAAATATTATTTTTATGCTACAATTACACCAACAAAACACCAACAAATTGAGGAGCATGCTTTGTAATGTCTCTAAAACAATAAATGTATTACTAGTAAGAAGTAATGTGGCATATTACTTCTTTTTTTTTGTGACCTGAGTCTTTTACCAAAAATATCACAAATGTGTAGCTCAGTTGGTAGAGCATGGCGTTTGCAACGCCAGGGTTGTGGGTTCGATTCCCACGGGGGGCCAGAATGAAGAATAAAAAAATGTATGCACTCACTAAGTGTAAGTTGCTCTGGATAAGAGCGTCTGCTAAATGACTGAAATGTGAACGAGAGACAAATGTTCACCTGCCCCTCTGAGGGTAGCGCAACTAGAGTCACTTTTGTGTCATGTTGCCATGTTCGTAGTTTTCTGGGAAAATTGAAAACGATGTCGCAGGTGAAAATGTATTGGTTCGCGGTTGGCGGGTTTTTGGGCTCCTTCTAAATTGTATCGCGTCCACCATATGGCATTTATCTTTAAAAAAAATATATTTAACTGTAACCTGCTGCTGCTGACTATCAGGCAGTGAGCAGGTTGTTAAGTCAGTGAGCAGGTTGTTACTGAGTGAGTGAGTGACTATCAGGCAGTGAGCAGGTCGTTACTGAGTGAGTGAGTGAGAGGTAATGGTGGGGAGGGCCAGAGGGGTGTGTGTGCTTTGAGAGCACTGGTTGAGAGAGTTATGCAGCAGAGGCAGCTGAGTGAAGGAGAAACACAAGGACAAAGTCTCACTTCAGTAGACTTTCGTTT